CCACAAGGCATTCGCTAAGCGAAGCTGGCTCCGGAGACATCTAGGCACCCACGCAGACAAAAGCCCAATCGAGTCTCAACTCCAATGCATCGTGGAGCTACAAGACATTTTAAAAAGCCGGGCGACAAGTCGAGCGAGTTCACCACGTACCAGAAACCATCTCTCTGGCTCCAGTGAGCTGGAGACACCTCCGCGCACCCACACAGAAGAAAGCCGCCCTGAGTACCAACCTGAGTGCATCGTGGTGCTAAAAGACATTTTGAAAAACCGGGAAACAAGTCGAATGAGTTCACCATTTGTCAAAAACTCTTTCTCTGGATCCAGCGAGGTGAAGACACCTCTGCGCACCTACACAGAAGAGAGCCTCCCTGAGTACCAACCTCAGTGCATCGTGGTGCTACAAGACATTTTAAAAACCCGGGAAACAAGTCGAGTGAGTTCACCGTGTGTCAAAAACTCTTTCTCTGGATCCAGTGAGCTGAAGACGCATCTGTGCACCCACACAGAAAAGAACCTATCTGAGTCCCAAGCCCAGTGCATCGTGGTGCTACAAGACATCTTAAAAACTAGAGAGAGAGAAGTTGAGCGAGTTCACCATGTGTCAGAAACCCTTTTCGCAACCAAGTCCTCTAAAGATCTATAAGAAAAATCTACTTTTAGTTTGGTGTAAATTGGCAAAACGCTTAAATATTAAGACAATTTTATAAATGTGAAGAAAATTGCTCAAGGTAAATTGCCCTCGTCTGCCCGGCGCGGCCACCAGCAGTATCCGCCCCCATTCCTCATTTTCACTGTTCCGATGAGGTTTCACTCGCGGATTCGCGGGTCGTCTTCCTCTCTAATTGCAGAAAGTCGGGGCGTGGCGTGTCGGGGCGGGGCACAGCGGGGCACAGCGGGGCACAGCGGGGCACAGCGGGGCACAGCGGGGCACAGCGGGGTGGGGCTGAGCCAGAGGTGACGGCCTCTAGGCCAAATACGACTGCATTTGGAAAACTGCGTGACACCTAGAAACATTGTACGCACATAACACTTATATGACTGATGCGTCCTGAGTAGCTTTCCATGGTGTCGAAGTACTAAAATTTTTATTGCGCTCAAAAATCTCTAAGAAATGGCACTGTTCTAGAACATTTTTGTTTCAACGTTATTGCAAGGCAGGAGTTCAGTTCAGTGAAGAACATAAGAACATGGCAGGGAGACAGACCGACAAAAAGTGCAAGCATAGCGGAATGCAAACGCGACTGAGCTGCTCGGCGCGGAGCGCTGGGGTCGCTGGTCAGTCGCAGTTTCAGTTCAGTCGCGGCGAGGCAGCCATAGCCCCCGCAGCCATGGCGAGCAAGGACTATTGAGCAGCGTAACTCTCAGCGAGCATCGCGGACTGGAAGATTCAAGTATGCATCGAAAATAGTGTTCTTCAGCGCATGTTTGGAAATTTCCAACAAAAAGCTACGCTGT